CAAATAACATTATTTAATAAATTGTAAATTGATCAAAGCAATCTGTATGAACAAGCATGACAACAAATTCTCTGCAACAGAAATTCATGAGCCATTTACTCATAATTATGACAAGATTGTAACCTTCCTCATCACAGCCATTTGAATGTGTTTTCACTAATATTTATACATCAAATTAACATTACATCAGTTTAGTTGGTAGTCGGTGAATGTGAAACATTCCTTGCATTGAGATATTAAAGTACTTCTATTGACAGAGGAGAGTGGAAAAAGTAACTACATGCAAAATAATAATTATTATTACTATAACAGCAATATATCTTAGTTACACATAAAAAAATTTTTTGCAGCATTTCCTATTCTTTTGTCAGCGGCAATAAAGAGCAATTTATTTCACTTTACATACCAGTACTTTTACTTTGGCATGGAGTGATCTTTGATATAAATTTGTTAGCAGCTTAAGATAAATTTACACTGTACACTCAATCTGTTGTAATATTGATATATGCAGCCATTTTAATAGATGCTAAGAGGTCTGTCAGAGTCTTTTCAAAGCCCTCTTCTTGTCTTTTTTCTTTTTATCCAGGGCTTTGTCGCTAGCCCTTTTTATTCCTTGTGTAGCTTCTACAGTTTCAGCCTTTTCCATACTTTCCACCTTACTAGCAAGGTTGTGCTTGGCATGGATATCCGTCCACCACTGTGCTCGCTTTGAATAGTCATCATATTTCTCTAATAACAGCTTACCAGCTTCTTCATTCAACGCTGACTCAGGATTTGGGACTATCAGAAGACATTTCACAGTCTGCAAAAAGCAACATGAGTAGGACATAACAAAATAAGGCTTTTAAATTGTTCTTGCCTACAGCACGTGTTCTCGATTGAGTTTTTGAGCACCCAGGGACCACAGACAACTAACTCTTGCCTTTGCGCAACTGGAAAAACTTTCTTTTTTCGCATAAGCTTAAGTGCTGGGCACTCAGGATTTCATGGTTAGGAACCTTTGGACTCCTCGTAATTTTTCTTAGACCACAGCCACACATAATTGTATGACATCATTCCTGTCATCTGTTCAAGATGTATTGACCATAGCTGTGACAGCACTTTTACAAAGAAAACTTGGTATTTGTTACCATCAATGCTGTATGTAGAGGAATCCCAAATTTTCGAACATCCAAAGAAAACAAAACTTGGCTTAAAAATAAGAGTAGTTTGAGAAATCAGGGGTAAAATAACTCCATTTGACTGCAAGGAGGAAAACAACTTTGGTTCAAGTTAATGGAAGGTTCCAAAAATCAAGGGTTTGGGATTTGACACTATACATCTTTGTCTGACGGGGAGGAAAAATAAATCACCGAGCATCAACACAATTAGTTAAAGTTCTACCGTAGCACAATCACATTAACTAGAAACAAGGCATCGTAAGATTGAAAGTCAAGCACAGTCAAGTATATCATCGAATGACATACTTTTGTGCATAAAAACCATTCCCAGAAATATAAACTTTATATAATTCTACATTAAACTTGATCCTCCAGAGATCATAAGCCCCGTATCATCTGGCTTACCAATAAGATATGTTTTACTCCAAGCTCTGGTTTCCAATCCTTTTTTAGTGTGTTTACACAGATTTCTCCATTGCTAGCTACATTTGGGTGGAAGATTTTTGTTAAGAAAAATCCTGAAGAAACAAAATGATTATAATACAATTTAGCTATTTGATGTAATTAATTATTTCCCTAATTTCTGTTTGGAGGCCTCTATCCACCTTCATCAGAGCAAAACAATGTTTGCTACACATAGCCTGCTCTTATTAGTTTAATCTTTCATTGACAATACATTTTTGACAGCATTAACTTGTTCCAGAAGTTCTGTTAGTTAGGGACCAGTGCAATAAATGGTGACAGAAGAAATAGAGGAGTGTGGCTTGTGTAACAAAAACAGTCAAAATTGACCAATCACAGTGTACACAGAAAATGTTCACAGGCATTCTTTTCCTCTTCACCCTAGACCACTCCTTTATTTCCTCTTGCTTTTTTCTTATTTCCTCTTTTTTTTTTTTTTGCACTACTCTCTGAGCAACCAAACAGCAGCAAGCTGCTTGGTTACTGCATATTTCAATAGCACACAAACTCAGAGGTCCAAACCCTTATGGTTCCATCAACTCCAAGCCTACTCCCCCCCCCCTCCCAGCACCACCCCTCCCGGCATTTGTAAGGCATTTGATAACTTGTCCTGCCCCAGGGTAGGGCATTTGCTATTACAGGTCAGCCCGGTGGTGTGGTGTTGCCAATGTTATCTTTCAGTTTAGTGCATCTTTCTTTGATCGTTTTAGAACAACATTTTGACCTTGTTACATGGGTCAGGCATTTGCAGTCTTCCTAAAGTTCCACCAAGGGGATTAATTTGTACAAATATATTGTGGTGCATTGACAAGCTTTATTTTTCAAAACAGGACAAATGCATGACAAATGCTGCAGGCGGGGATGGGGGAATAAGCAGGTTAGAATTGAAATTGTGATATAAATTTCCCATGCAGGAAAAAAATGTTTTCTGTCTCATACTGTAGAAAATAAAACTCCACTTAAGCCAATCAGAGCATGCACAGAATCCAAACTGTGTCATAATGTTGTCTAGTATGATTCATACAAAATTTATTCTTGAAAAGAAAATCCAAACAATGTATGATAAATACTGTCTTATGATGAACATTTTATATTGGACCTCTACAATTATCTAGAAGAAAGCAGACACTTCTATCTGCCTTAAAAATGTCGTTATTGTTTCCAGGCTACTCTCTTCCAAGCAAGATGTTTTGGACGTTGTTAACTGTTGCCCTGAACATAAACTTGAAAGCTCAAAACTCAAACCATAAAACTTTACTCAGCGATCAAATGATGAGCAAGCTATCGATACATGTAAAGGAGAAAGGATGATTTCTTAGAAGATTGCTATAAACAGACACAATAGAACTTGAACTGTAAACGATACCGATTGTACAGAATTGAACCCTAGACACAAAGAAAATTTTACCTTTAGGAGGCGCAGCAGGAAAATCTTTCCCAAGCACTAGTTTTACACGAAAGAGTCCCCCTTCATAAGGCGTTCCAGCTGTCAAGGATGGAAGAAAACGGCACTCAAAGTAAAAATTTTCGATTCACGCGAAATGAGAAGACAATGTACTAAGCTACAACAGAACTGAATTCAAACCTTTATGATCTATGGATCTATGTGTATTTCAAAACTCCAAAACAGTGGAAAAACATACCTGGCCCTTCTATTGTTGCTTGAATGTCTGTTACATCCTGCTCGTTGGTAAAAACTTTAATACCTTCGGGTGGATCGCTTGATAAACTCGTTAGTTCTTTAACAACTTTTTTGATGATTTGTGGGTGAAGATTCTCGACGTTCGAACTTGACTGAAATCCACGTGAAAGAAGCAAAAATCAGTGAATTCAAAAATCCATGATCGGCAAGCTGAAACAACACTACTTACCGATGCCATTCGCTAGAGTTCTTGCCGAACCAGAAAGCAAGGAAAGCAAACGTTCAAATAAGTGCAAAAGATAAATTCGTTTTCGAGAGGCGAACGCGAAGCGCTGCCTACGGTTTTGGTTTGTTATTCTATCAACCAATCAAATCACAGATGGATCGACCGTGAGATCCTGGTTCTTAACAAGGCGCGGTGGCATAGGTCTTACAGCCATGCCCCAGGGGTCACCCCAGGGGACATCACAGCGTTTGGAAAAAAGAAACAGTGGAAGCTAGTGGGGCCTTGGTATAACCATGGCTATTAACTATTGTATAACGAACGATATTCTTCAGCCCGACCAAGTTACAGTAAAATGTATGGATGCACGATATAGCTTAAAAGAAATCGAACCAATTTCTCAGTTTGGGTACTCGGTTCATTCTTCATGACTCTCATGGCTTCTTTAAATGTCCGAACTGCACGTTCCGCTTCACCATTGGATGCAGGATGATAGGGTGAAGACAAACACACGCGAACACCATTGGCAGTTAAGAAATCTTTCAGATATCACGAAATCCTCGTTATAACGGGTACAATCCAGACGCCCAAACATATAATATACCCCGATATAACGAAGAAATGTCAACACGTGACAAAAGATAAATAAGAAACAGACCAACAAGGATTATAAAAAGATTTTCATCCTGTAGCAGTAGATTAGCCTGCGAGAAGGCTTACAATTCAGTGCCGTAGCACGGGGAGGGGCCGGAGGGGCCGGGGGGCCCGTTCCCCCCCCAAAAAAAATTGACTAGCATACAATAAAAATATTCAAAAGTAGAAAAGTAATAATGTTGGGATACTGTTGAATTCTTTTAGCATAATTAACACTCTAGTTAACTCTAATTTTTCTTTATAACGTTTTACAACAAATGTCCAAATGGTTCGTGGGGTCTATGTAATAGGTAAATATTTATTACACAACACTATCAATTTGTATAATAAACCTGTTCAATTAGGAGAGTACAACGTTCAAGTAACATATCAGATCACATTCTCGTCCCCAGAGCCTCCGTTTCTTTTGGTCACGTGGTCGGAGAAATGGAGCTACTCGTCAACGACATTTTAAGACGAGTAGCACTGGGGACGAGAATGTTCAGATCAATGATTTTAGTCAGTTAAAAATTGCTGTAAACTGCTCTCAGAAGACTGGAAAGGCTATTTTAGAGAGCCCAGATTTCAAAATCTCCAGGGGAGCATGCCCCCGGACCAC